GTCTGTTCATCTGCCCTCATGAAAAGTAAAGGTTGTTTATATAAATTAATTTTCAATGTTATTCTGTTTTGTCTCTAGCTAAAACCAGAGAAGAAAAAGATGCAAAACAGCTAATAAAAGCAAAGAAACTCTTGAAATTCGGATAAAAACGCTGCAATAAGTTTAAAATTTTTCACTTGGCGGCCTTGCAAGTTTCCGTTCCAGGCCAACCATGTTTTGGAAGTAATAATTATCGACAGAAGATAAACAAAAAAGAAGTAGCTTTGAATACGCAGAGATTTGTTCTTACCAAGCCGAAATGGGCGTCAAGGCCAACCTAGTTTTTGGTGCGTCCTTTGAAGTTTTACCACCGCATTGTGGTTCCCGTTTTCTGGGATGTTGTTTAAATTGTTGCGCTCATTATTTTGAGCAATACTCGTCCGAGCTGGAAGGAAATCGCTGCGAAAGCACTGAAACAGAACAAGGTTAAGAAAAACGCTCTTGTTACAACTTTTCACAAAAAATTCCGCCTTAATCGAGGAGATAAGCATCGTTGTATGCATCATGAACAAAAGCAAGATCTAAGAAAGCACGAAGAAACCGCCGAACCGCCAAAAAAGAGTTAAACTAGGGAAAAAACAAGAGATTTTCGAAATAAGGTTTTTGCCGGATTTCTCGTTCGAATCAATAATGTAGTCTTGGGACGTTGTCAGCGTAAAAGTAGGGATCAAGAACTTCGGTATGATATATAGCTTGCCCAAATTGGGCTCGAAACAACGAAGAAAAGGGTATCAGAGCCAAATCCTGAGCCCCGCGTTTGGGGTAGCGAGGTAGCGCGCAGCGCGCGGAGACGCAGGCGAGCAGCGGAGACAGAGTAGAGCCGACGGAGCATTTGACTCTGGTCATAGATCGCCGCGGGGTCTCAACGAAAAACACTATATATCATTCTGATCGTCATGACACGATGGGGAACACTGACAACGTCCCAGTTGTTGAAAATCATCAATTAACGAGATAGACCAGCATTTTCGTGCGCGTGTCTTTGCGCAAGATTTAAGCGCGTTCGCGTTTCTATTCAACTCCAACAGCTTCCCTAAATTACTGAAACTCAAGTTTAGTCAAATAAGAGGTTAAGTGAGAAATGTTGTCTTGAATTCTCGAGAAACGCTCACAGAAACCTTCTATTTAGCGTAAAAAAGGCAAAAGCAAACTCTTGGTTTCGCTGAGATAAACAAGGATGTTAGATGGTGATGGTGATGATGATGATGGTGATGATGGTGATGGTGATGGTGATGCATGGTGATGGTGACGCATGGTGATGCACCATCGCTACTCCTGGTGCATCCAAGACGGCTTTTTATTTGATGCTAAACAAAGCTTAATCTTTCATGGTTTCCGAGTTCAATTTCCTTAGCAGGGAATGGTCAAAATTAAACTACCATTCCAAACGAGCTGTACATCATCGGACTCGTCTTGAAACGCCGATCGATATATGTTTATTATCTGCCAAGCGACTATTCTGGAAAGTCATGAGAATGGGTCGCGAAATTTTTGAAAGTTACTTAAACGTGTTATAAAAATGTGCAGAGGACTGGTTTTTACTTGTAAATAATTGAAATAATTTTTAAAAAAATTTCAAAATTCAAATTAGCTTTGTAACCACGCCCCCTTTTTCTAAAACTTTGGGGTCAAGGGCCCGAAAAAATCTTGAAAAGCATCCCAAAAAATTTCTCGAAGTGCGTGGCTAACACCACATACCTTCATCCGAAAAATTTTTTGTCGCGCTCCTCCCGTTCCCTCTCCCCCGAGCGGAAATCCTGGGTGCGACTTCAGGAAATAGACTTTCAAAACACTTAATCAAATTTTTGGTGAATGCGCTTCTTCCTTGCAATCAAAATAACCATAGCCACTATTTCTCGCCATCAGGCTGCCTGTATTGGTTAGTGGTTGGGATATAGTCAGAGCTATAAGGCTTCGAATACCACTTGTGAACCACAACCACAAAGATTATCTGCCACGCGGGTCTTGAGCGTTGGACAACACGAGCACACCTCAAACTTGGGTAATTAAACTTTATCATAGGAAACAAATAACAACAACAAACACGGATAGAACAAATAACAAAATATACTATTAAATGATGAACTACAAATAGGAATGCTATGATTGGAAGAAGGCAAAATATGTGAGTGAATAATGTTAAAGCAAATGAGCAAAAGTAGTACAAGTGAATAACTCTGAGTGTGCACTGTCAGCTACTTATATGCGTACGATCACATCATCAAGCCACAGCTGCGCGCGACATCCTACTGGTAACTAAAAAACCATGAGCAATTCACATCTGATGCCAACATCTGCAAATTCCTCCAGTAGTAAAAAACGATGCAAATCATCGATGCTTTGCAACTGGCAAAGTATGACTAAACTACCAGGATGTGATGAGTTTCTATATGAGGGAGAAAAGAACAATACGAGCTGCGAAGTTCGTATACTCCGGCCTCACCAACGAGTTCGGGACGGGCTAGTTTGTCGTTGCTGCGCTGTCGCTGTGGCTGTAATCTCCGGTGATCTCACAAGTCCTTTTCTTCTGGTTTCTTCTTTTTGAGTGAACAGAGCATTCGAAGAAATCGGTATGGTAACAGCCAAAAGAATCGAACCATTCGATGTGCCAATTTAGCCAGTGCATAGAGTAATCCACAGAGGGCTCTAATGACCGAGAATAAACAAGTGTTGGAGGCGTAGAAGTACGTTATCAACAAGGCGATTATTACAATCAGTGCTGTCGCTCCTAATACACTGCCCCACATCAGGAATGTCTGCGCTAAGTGCGTGAAATCGGGTAAATTGATCTCGGAAAACAGTTCGCTTTCTCCTTTTCCTTTTCGCAAAACAAATTAAGGTTCTTCCACGTTAGCTTGATTTCCAGGATACTGGTCTGATTGCTTGTAAGTTTCATACAGGCTTCTTGCTTGAAAGGGTTGATCTTCAGTACCTCTGTGGTGTCAACTGTGCAGTATTCCTCGTCTCCAAGTTGTGTGCATGCTTGAGTATGATGCGTCAGCACGTCGACATCTTGACATCCGATTGTCAGACCACTGTTCCAGAGCACTGTTAAAAGAACGACGTTTCTCATCCATGCTCTTCTTCTTCGACGTCGATATGTGCCTGTTGCCATTTTCAGCATATGCCATAGTATCTTGAATGTCCACCATCCGCCTGTGCCGACTAACTTCAGTCCGTAGAGTAACGGAGTTCCGATCAACACCGGCACATGAAATAGGCAGTAGCACATAGTTATTATCAAGTATATTAACAACCCGGTGACCATAATGGCAGTGCGTGGCCAGCATTCTGGGTTGCTCACCATTACTGCACAAAAGGTGCAGTCTATCTGTTTGCAAAAAGGTGCTGCCTTGCAGGTGGTTTCCATCATATGAACCTCTTCTCCATCAAAGATTTTCCATCTCACGAGTTGTTCGTGCAGAGCGATTTGTGGAGGAAATTTCACTAACTCCTGTCGGCGAGGTGCTTTGAACTCCAAGCAAAAGTCTTCTGCACAGATTTCGTAGGGCTGTTGACTTGGTTGCAGTAGAGATACTCCTCCTTCGATACATTGAAGGTGATAACTGCCGTTGATGTTCGTTCCCGTCGTTCCCATTATGCACATCGAGAGTAGCGTTACCGTTAGCAATGATTTTACCGACAAAGGGTATGCTGGTGCATTTCTGGGCGTCGGTTCTTCTTGATCTTGCTCAGTGTAGCTGATGGCTTTTCTTGGACGAAGATTGTATCGTGTGGCTGGTACCTCTGGCGGAGAGGTTTCCAAAATTTCTTCTTTGCCAATCTCGAGAGGTACAACTCGATTTATTGGTCGTCGTAAACGGCGCTTGTTTGGTGTTTCTACCAAAACTTCCCTCAATGTTTTCTGCGGAGAATTGTCCACTTATATTATACGCGCTGTTTTCCATGTGTTTCTTGGTTGTACGGCGTCCCAAAGAAGTACGATGTCTCCTTCTCTTGGTGATTTCTTCGTTCCGCGCCTTTCGTTCATCCGGACTTTGTGCTGCTCTCTTAGACTAGTGATGTATTGCTCACTCCAAATTTTCCAGAATCGTTCGGTTAAGTCGATGGATGTCTTCAGGGCTGCTTCTGCTTGACGCTGCGTTGCCAACTGCTGTGCTTCTTCGGGTGTGTGGTACACTTTGTCTTGACCTTCTCTGCCTATGTACTCCAGAGGGCAATCCAAAATTATCTTGTTTTGGATAAAGTCTATTGGTCGGAGTAGTGGTTGTTCTTCCCATTTTTCTTCCTGATAGGTAAGAGGTCGTGAATTTAAAACCGCTTCTATCTCTGTTAGCATCGTCCTGAGGCAGTCAAAGGTGACGGTGCGTACTCCAAGCGTTTTGTACAGCGAGTTTTTGATGGAGCGGATAAGCCTCTCGTAAAATCCACCCTGCCACGGTGCATAAGGCGTTATATGGCTCCACTTAATTTCTCGCCTGGCTATTTCGCTTTCTACTTCCGCGCTGTGCACCATATTCTCTGTGGCGTCCTTCAGGATTTGCTCTCCCAACAAGAATGTTGGTGCGTTGTCACAGGTGATAGTCTGCGGTACACCTCTTCTTGCGAAAAATCTTCTCAGTGCGTTTAGGAATGCCTCGGTTGTCATATTATCCACGAGCTCTAAATGTATGAGTCGCGTTACTTGGCATGTGAAGATGCACCCATATGCCTTGTTAGATCCGTCATGGTTGTCACTGGTCATCAGAGGTCCAAAATAATCCAGTCCTATGTGCTCAAATGGACGCGTACGGTGCACTCTTGTCACTGGTAATGCCTCCATGTCAGGGTAGATAAAAGGAAGATTGTTCATCTTTTGGCATGGGACACATTTTTGGATCCAACTTCGCACTTGCTGTCTGAGTTTGGGTATCCAATACGTTTCGCGTACGGCGGCCATGGTATGAGCAGCTCCGCGGTGATAATGACCGTGAATTTCCGAGATGATTAGACGTGCCAACATAGTTTTGGGTGCAATGTAGATTGGTGTTTTTGCCGTTACTGGTACATCTGCTTGCTGTAGACGCTCGTAACAGCGCAGGGTTCCTTTTTCGTCTTGTCGGATATTCAGTTCCTTCTGCGACTTGATCTGATGCTCGTTCACATAGTTCTTCTGATGGTCTCGAATCAAGCACATTCGACTTTCGTGCATCTCGATCCCGGTGATGGTTTGTGACGGTGAAATTTCCTTGAGAGCCGGTATGTGTTGTTGTATTGCCAATCTTCTTTCGTGGGGAAAATGACTCAGGGATCTGTTTATGAATCGAAGTGCATACACTAGCACTCTCTGAGCTTTCTCAAGGGTGCTGTATCTGCTCAAGTCAACCACTTCGTCCTTAGATACCTCTTCTGACGGGTTTAGAGTTACTGCCTCCACTGATATCATTGTCGATTGTTCGAAATCAGCAACCGTACTCAGCTTTGAATGATCCGGTTTGTTGGTGAATTCAGGTCCTGTCCACCAGATATGGTTCTGTAAAGCTTCTGCTGATAGTCCTCTTGTTCCGCAATCGGCTGGATTTTCTGCCGTTGAGACGTGTCCGAAGAGACACGTGGTGCTTTGACTGCGGAGATCATTGCTGATTCGTCTAATCTCTGATAATCGGTTTGTAACTAAAATGCCTGCGCTTTGTCGCGATGGAGGGGTTCTTATCCACCCTAACACGATATCCGAGTCTGTGTATAGAATCACTTCCTTGATTTTGCAGGATGGTTCACATTTCACAAATAAAGCGAGACATTCTTACGCCCAGCGTTAGTGCATTCATCTCCAACTTGGGAACCGTCATTGAAGTTTTGATAGATGGAAGTTTGGATTTTGCCATTATGATGCTGGATTCTTCTTGAGAGGTGAGATATGCGCATGCTGCTATTGCGCACTGGCTAGCATCAGTGAAGACGACAAGTCTGTAGCCATCGGATTTGCTGAGAATTCGTCTATTCACTTCCTTGTAAAATGTTGCAATTTCTGATGTTATTTGATGCCACTGATCACGCAGTTGCGCTGGAAGCAGTGTGTCCCAATCTAATCCTTCCTTCCATAGTGACTGCATGAATATCTTTGCCGGTAGTAGTAGAGGCACCAGAAATCCCATTGGATCATACACAGAAGCAAGTTGTTGTGTGACTGTTCGCTTGGTATCTTTTCCCTTCAAGGTTGTCATCGAGCCTTTGATAATGAACTTGTCCGTTTCCGAATTCCATGCGATGCCTAGGACCTTGGGGCAGGTGGATTTCATCTTGTCGGCCTCATCAATGGCGTTGGAGAAGGTTTTGTCATTGGAGCAGAATTCCCTCAAGTTCATTTTGAGATCTTGGAAGAGCTTCTTTGTGTGTGCATACTTCAGAAGTGCTTCATTTGAAGATTGTGCACCAAAGAATAAGTTGTCCACGTACAAATTCCTTCTTATTTCCGGGGCCATGTCGTCATCATTTGCTGTGGTTTCTAGGTGGTGATCTATCGTAGCGCTCAAGAGGAAGGGGGAAGCATTGAGTCCGAAGGTAACTCTAGTGAACCTGTAGATCACTATGTTGTCCGGCGTGGGTGGGAGTGAGATATTCCTGACCCAGATGCACCGTGTAGCGTCACGATCCTTTTCTTGCAGTCGTACTTGTAGGAATGCCTTCTCAATATCCGACATCACTGCGATATTCGGAATTCGAAATCGAAGCAAGATTCCGACAAGATCAGGCAAAATAAGAGGACCTTGATGGAGCACATCGTTGAGGCAGGGACAATCCTTATAATGGGCTGATGCATCAAAGACGATCCTCATCTTTGTCGTCTCCTTAGAAGGGGTGACCACTGCCTGGTGCGGTAAGTAATGGATCACTTCTCCATTGTCAGCGTCCTCCGGTGCTACTTCTTCGATTATTCCCTTGTCACGTTGATCGCTGAAGACGTTATCGTATGCCTGCAACATTTCCTTATCGCCCTGGTACATTTCTAGAGTTCTAACGAGGCGTTTCATTGCTAGTGCCTTGTTATCTGGGAGTTCTGGGTGATTCTCCTTCCATGGTAGGCGTACGTAATAGCCATCTTCTCTCTTTTCGATAGACTTCTTGAAGTTTTCCAGCACTTTTTCGTTTATTTGTTGCAGTTCCGTTTGCTGTGGACCAGTAAATTCTTCTGTGCCAGCGGATTCCAGAGACCAGTAGCGATCCCATTTCTCCTTCTCGATTTCATATCCTTGCAGAGTGCACGATACCGACCGTTTCGTGGGGATGTCTCCTTGTCGTCCGCTGATGATGTACCCTAATTTCGTTGGTATCAGCTGCAGTCCAGATGGTAGACTCAGTTTGTTGCTTGTTTCCATGAAGTTCCAGAGATGGTCGCAACCCAGTAAAATTTGCGGCTGCAACTCTCCACCTTCTATCGGCAAAGACAAGTCGAAATTTCCTCTCTTGATAAACTGCAAATCTTCATGATCGAGGCACGCTCGTTGTACGGTGCTTGTAATATAGTCGTTCTTATACAGCTGCAGCTCATGCTGTGTACCCTCCTTGTCCACCATCTTCAAAAGCGTTAACGCACAGTTTTTCGTTTTCGGTGATGATGACCCGAATGTGCTGAGCTCGAGAGAAGTTGTACCTAGCGTTGGCAAGTTGAGCTCGTTCGCGAGCTGCTCTCCAATGAATGAGAGTTCCGAGCCTGTGTCCAATAAGACGATTGTTTCTCTTTTGTTTCCATCGGCGTCAAGCACTTGTACTGCTCCCGTAGGTAGAACTACCCTACTTTGTTTCCAATCGTTCTTCTTCTTTAGCTGTAGTACGGTTGGAGAGTCGGCACTTTCCGTTACTCCTTGTTTTGTGAGATGAGTGTCTTGTCCGAGTGTCTCCGTTACCGCATGTTGTTTCGAAGAACTGTAGGATTTTGCAGCTGTCGTCGGCTGGTTTTTTGGTGTTCTCGCTCCCTCCGGCTTCTTCTGTTGACTGATAGGTGGTCTGCTTTGTGTCATTTCACTTGGCCTTTTTTCTGAGCATATCGCAGTGTGATGTTTTTTGTTGCAGTTTCGGCAGTTGCCGCTAAAGCATGCCGCTACTCTGTGATTGTTTGACCCACAGTTTAGACATCGGTTGGACTCCAGCAAAAAATTCCTCTTTTGCGTTGCTGTGGGAATTTGTGGGCAGGTTGTCCACCTGTGTCCTTTGCTTCCACAGCACTCGCACACGTTGCCTCTTCTTACGTTTGTCGGTGCCGGAGTTTTGATCTGCTGCGATTCTGCCGAGAGTCTGTCGTTTAGTTGTTCCTCTCGTGAAATGGCTTCATCAATGGCGTCCAACCATTGGTTTAGTGTCCATTCTTGTTTATTTCCCTCTTCGCTCCTCAACTGTTTGTCCATTGCTTCTCTTCGTATGCGTACATGGAATTTTTCCAGAAAAGTGTCGATTGTTAGTTCGTTGTCCAAGTGCTGCTCGTGTTCTTCCAACTGATTGGCTATTGCTGCTAGCTTATCCCACAATTGTCTTTGCTCCAATGTGCTTGGTCCTCTTGCTGAACAGCTCTTCAGATTCCTGTTCAGCTGTCGTACAATGCCACTTTTATCTCCGTATCGTTTGGCAAGGTGTTGAATGGCTTTCTCGTAGTTATCTGCCGAAACGAAGAATCGAGATATTGATTGCTTCGCCTCTCCACTCAGAGAAGAAAGCAAGTAGTTGAATTTCTGGAGTTCCGTTAACTCCTGGTCGTGCACATTGGCCTTAAACAAAGCCCAGAAGTTGTCCCATTCCCATTTCTTCCCCGTGAATGTAGGGATGGGTATCACAGGGAGCTTGCTGACTGCCACAGAACTTGCCAAATCGGTTCTCGTTCTATGCGTGTTTCCCGTGATGTCAGTCTGCCACTTCCTCAGTTGGGACCGGTGTGCATGCAGCTTCATTATTGTTCCTTGTGCGCTCTCCACGTACTTGTCTAGTTGATCTTCTTCTTCGTCGGTGGCGTCTTGTAGACCGTCGAAGGCTTTCGTTAACTTGGTTACTGAAGCTTCCAGAAGATCTATGTACTCCTCGCATGTGGTGATGTCCATCGTGATCTCCTTGGCTCGTTCGCCTTGCGCTGCTACGCCTCCTTGTTCTATCCTTTCAAGGAGCTGAGCCGACTCTTGTAGCCAGTTCAGTGCCACATCATTCCTTTTTGTCACTAGTCCTTTGTATGCTCTTATTGTTGTCGTCATGATGTAAGTGCTGATAAATAAGCTGCGACGGTAAATCTCTATTGTTCAATCGTAGCTCTGACGTGCAAGCAAAGCAAAGGAAGCTGTCTCTGTCGCAATAGTGTGTACCTTCTTTGTTCGGCCGATGCACCAGTTGTATTGGTTAGTGGTTGGGATATAGTCAGAACTATAAGGCTTCGAATACCACTTGTGAACCACAACCACAAAGATTATCTGCCACGCGGGTCTTGAGCGTTGGACAACACGAGCACACCTCAAACTTGGGTAATTAAACTTTATCATAGGAAACAAATAACAACAACAAACACGGATAGAACAAATAACAAAATATACTATTAAATGATGAACTACAAATAGGAATGCTATGATTGGAAGAAGGCAAAATATGTGAGTGAATAATGTTAAAGCAAATGAGCAAAAGTAGTACAAGTGAATAACTCTGAGTGTGCACTGTCAGCTACTTATATGCGTACGATCACATCATCAAGCCACAGCTGCGCGCGACATCCTACTGGTAACTAAAAAACCATGAGCAATTCACATCTGATGCCAACATCTGCAAATTCCTCCAGTAGTAAAAAACGATGCAAATCATCGATGCTTTGCAACTGGCAAAGTATGACTAAACTACCAGGATGTGATGAGTTTCTATATGAGGGAGAAAAGAACAATACGAGCTGCGAAGTTCGTATACTGCCTTCAAAGAAAATATATTTGTCGAAACTCGAAAAATTTGTCATAGTTGAACGCTCATGATCTCACATAAAACATTTATTTGAAATATGCGTTTTGAGACGAGTCCGATGATATATAGCTTGCTTGGAATGGCTGTGTTAACTTCTGAGCATTTGCTCGCTAGCAGTTGGATATTGCAATGTGGATACCGCGTCATATGCGTGTTCCAAAATGTGCCTACTGTTTGATTGTTGATATCTCTCTTGCCACGAAGTCTTTTTACTTTGAGTATGGAGTATATTACACACCAGTGCGTCACCCCCCGCTTCGCGGAGGTTCGCACTGGCTTCCTATCCCTATGCCTTTCTCATGTTCGCATGAGAATGGCTTTGAAACTCACCACGCGATGCTTAGCATCACAAATGAATCGTAAACAACTGTTCATTCATGAAGCATCTCCATGTAAGATCGGTGATTTGAGAAAAAAAGTTTGTTGCAAGGAAACAAATGCGAATTTGAACGGATTACCAAATCTATTTCAGTTTGATAATCGTAATAAGGATAATAGTCACCTTGGGCTACATTTCAGTGCAAAAATCTTTTCAGTTTTCAAAAATAAAACCTCGCCAAATCGACTATCTACGCGTTCATCACTTTTTGGCACTGTTTTCGCAAAAAAGCAAACTTTTTGAGCATTTTTTGGGCTAGAATTCATTCATTCAGAATTACTTGTCAGGCAAATCATAACTTTGTAAAAAGTCGAATTAGCGATCCAGTCTTGCGTGCTAAAAGGCGCGTGGACCCGCAAATTTTGAGGAACCCGCTTATCGAACCGGCTCGTCCTTGCGCATGGTGGGCCTAGACGCTGGCACGGTATGTTTGCAAAATTGCAGCCCGATAGCTTAGCTGCAGCTTCCTCTATGAATTTCGTGACAGACAGATTTTCACACAGACACACACAAAAAAACAGACGGCCTTAGCGCGTTATTATAGTAGGATCCTTCTTCATTACTGTAGGATTACGGTAGGAAGTTGAGAGGGTTCTGAGCCATACAGGGTCATACCTTGGCTCAGAAAGGGAACTAAACGACCTGAAATCTGAATGCAGTTGCTTATTCTAAATATGATGCTTGCATCTTAATGCTTCCTCAAAAAGTTGTGTTAGGTACAGTCGCTTCATTTCATATGATCATGTATGCCGTTGCACTCACAGTCCACTTTGGCGTCCTCATCCTGGATTTGCAATCGCAAAAACGCAAGAGGCTTACCGACTGTTATCGATTACATCAATTTGAGGTGCTAGCAACTAAAAAGGAAAGGAAATGCTAAGAACACCTTGGAAGCACTTACCTGAAGGCTTGTTTCTTTCACGAATCCAGGATGGGGACGCCAAAGGTGAACTGTGTGTGCAGTGACACACATGATCATATGAAATGAAGCGACTGTAAGCAGTAGCAGCCGGTTCGAGCCAAAAATGCGGTTGGTTTAGAAAGCTTCACAATCTTATACAAAGTTGAGTATTAAAACTCGGCTCATGATATCTATCACACAAACTTTTCGATTTGTACCTAAGTTTATGGTGAAGACAGCGATGAGTGATCCGCTCCATAAGCAAACGTAGCTCAAAGTCAGTTTTAAAAAATGGTACCCAAAGCTTTTCGAAAGACTCCATGACACAAACAGTAGGCACATTTCTTGGGACACCCTGTATTTCTGTGGTGGTAGAATTGTTTGACTGACCCAAAATGGCAACGATTTTGTGGTCTCAAAAGCTTAAATGGTGTTAAAAGCATAATCTTCGAACCCTGAGAAAAGGACTCAAACAAAGAAACAGGTTCATATTATTAGTATCGTATAAGAGCAAGTCAGCCATCTCCATCTTTAAACTATTGTGAAGGCGCAAACGTCCAAGGGACTAACAACGGTGAAGACACAAATCTCAAAAATTGCAGCATTCATGTTTACCAGTGCGTCACCTCCGCTTCGCGGAGGTTCGCACTGGCTCCCTTATTCGTATGCCTTTCTCATTTCGCATAATGAGGACTTTGAAACTCACCAAGCGATGCTGATCATCACAAATGAACGTAAACAACTGTTCATTCTTGAAGCATAAGAAAAACTATTTCGCAAAGGAACATCTGCGAAGTTGAATGGATTACTGAATTTGTGTTGGCTTGGTAGTTGTTATTAGGATAACAGTCACTTTGAGCTACATTTCCCTGCAAAAATCAATCCAAATTTTAAGGTAAAAACTTGCCAAATCGACTAACTACGCGATCACCACTTTTTTGCGCTGTTTTTGCAGAAAAACGAACTTTTTGGGTCCTTTTGGGCTAGAATTCATTTGGCGTAGATTTACTTGTGAAACTGGATCATGACTTTGCAAAAAGTCGAATTAGTGACCTAGTTTTGCGTGCAAAACTAGGTCACTAATTCGTGCCGCGTGGACCCGTCTGACGCACAAATTCTAAAGGACCTTTTTATCGAACCGGCTCGTGCTTGTGCATGGTGGACTTACATGCTGGTGCGGTATGTCATGCAAAATTGCAGCTCGATCGCTTGGCTGCAGCTTCCTCTATGGATTTCGTGACAGGCAGACAAACGTACACACGCACAAAAAGACAGACGCTTAGCGCTTTGTTATAAGTCTGATTGGAGCTTTGGTTTCATTGCTGAAGCTTTCCAAGAATTGAACTGTTAATGTGGAAATCAAAATACCTGTAGCGACAAGGGGGAGAGTTTGTGGTACTAACATTTGAGTCAGACATGGTGATTACACAAATAATCTGATGATTGACGATATCTATCAGCCATCTACCGCAGCAGACTTACCAAGCAATATGCCGTCTAAATCGGACATGGGCAGATCAGCACTCTTGGCGGGGCCACCTAAGGCATCACTATGCGCTTCAAAAGCTATTTGTCAATCTGTCATGTCGTCTAAACGCTCATGGAAATTCACAAACACCCTGATGCAGGTCTAATGTTCAAACCCGCGCACAAAGTCAGGCTTAATAAATCAGCAGCGGCCCAGTCCCTACCGACAGGATTGCCTGGTTTCTCAACATCATGCTAGAGCAGTTGCTAAAATTTGTCTTCGCTCATTTGACATATACAAACATGCTCGAAAAGCTCCGCGCGCACGCATAAGCCCTGATTGCATAGTATGATAGAATCGTCTGATGTAACATCACTCTATACGAATGCTTTCAAATGGTGCGGCGATGCAAGCTGTTTACGAATTGCTATTGAAACACCAAATTTCTCTCGGTCTGTACGGCTTTAGCATTAGAGCGGCATCATGACCCTTCTGAAGGAGTGCCCAACTTTTCAATTTCACTACTACAGGCAAGCTAGGGGTTCGGCTATAATTAACATTTAGCTCCAACGCTAACCAATCTTCACGTAAAAACGCGAAATCGCCTGTCCATACCAGAAAGCTATTGCTGTATTTTCGCCATATCGACTCAAGCCGAGATGGATGTGTGGTTTCAACATCCTCAATCAGCAATTCGCAAACATCAGTTTTACACGGAAAAACGACATTAAAACTGACTGTCGTTCTTAAAAGTACGAGTATGTCTGACGGGTGGGGAGTCTAAGACTAAATGGTACCGCAAGCTTAGCTGTAAAAACATGTTCGTATCTTACCTGTCCGAGCACCCCAGAAAGCTTGAGGCAGTTGTAGGTAACAGTATCGGACAGCAACAAGAGTTTCTTAGGGTATTCAAGAGCGTGCTTATTCTAAGAACTTAGCTAAACATAAATGGGTACGCTGGTGCAGTGGCGTACCGAGGGGGGGGGGCGGGGGGGGGCGCGCGCCCCCCCCGAGAATGGGTCGCGAAATTTTTGAAAGTCACTTATATGGGTTATAAAAATGTGCAAGTGACTTGTTTATTTTTGTAAATAATTAAAATAATTTTTAAAAATTTTTAAAAAATCAAATTAGCCTTGTAAAAAAATTTTTTTGGGGAGCATGGCTAACGCCACGCCCCCTTTTTCCAGATTTTAGGGGTCGGGGACCCGCAAAAGTTTTGAGAAGCACCCCAAAAATTTTTTCGGAGTGCGTGGCTAACGCCACGCACCTTCTTTAGAAAAAATTTTTTGTCGCGCCCCCCCCCGAGCCGAAATCCTGGGTACGCCACTGCGCTGGTGTAGTGCTACTTCTGACCCACACGGACTGCAAGCCGTAGGGCCAGTACCAGCTTCCTGGATAGACAATAACATATATCGCTTTTTGCTTGCCGTTCGTCTCAGACGAAATTAGAGCTGCGGTGTGGCGTGCGTATATCAGGTGGGTTTGCAGGACAACGTTAGGTGGTCATATTCCGCCGCTTAACGTGGAAACAGTTGGTTCGGAATCGGTTATGCGATCGCACATGCTTGATGCCTATGTGATTTGTCCGTATGATAAGAAGTGCGACTTGTGATTTTTGGGGTAGTGCATCTCTTTACACTTTTATCATTTGGTGAATATGTGGAAGGAACGGAATCTCCCCCCCCCCCCTCTGCTCACGTACTAAGGAACATCTGGAGGGTTAAATAAATCGAAACCAGCAACACTCTTGAGTAGTCATCGCATTGTGCAGCAAGAAAGTACCGAGGTACAAGTTGGAGTCGAAATACTAACCTATCGGCCCGAACTGCTGCGCGCAAAACATTGGAGGCTTTTGGATAAACACCAAGAGACCAAAAATGAATAGAATGAAAGGGTGCCCCGCAGTGCGAGGCTCGCTCCCCTCATTACATCCACAACAGTCTACTGCCTAGAAGCTAACTCCAGGCGCCCGCTACTACGTCCAGTAAATACGCGGTTGCTTTTCAGCTATCCGCACCAGTGGTTTGCGAGATAGTATGATTGGCGAGGACACCAGGCGCATGTGAAAGTGGAGAGAGTGTATTAGGATTGGGTAGAAGTGGATATTTTGAATCGAGACACATCACAGAAGAAACCAGGCTAAAACTTGGAAGTTCAAGTCAAACTGCTATTCACTGGCCATCAACACTTTGAAAAAGTCAAGCGATACTTTAATGCACAAATTTGAATGCGCAATTCTTATGTACACTGACTCGAACTTTTATTCAATCTGCAGCTTTACTTAGAAACATTTGTAGGTGCACAAACTTGCTACTGAACCTGCAACATAGCTGAAAAAAAGAATAATTCTTTCACAAACGGAAAATGTATGTCTGCAAAGAAAGCGAGAAGCTGGAAAGCTGCTTCAAAGCTGTTTGAAATAACCCTGCGGAAAGGAAACAAATTTATAATCCTAAATGCAGAATAACTGAGATATTCGTACGTTACATCGTAAGTTTACAAATTGTCGGGCGCGACAACTAAAGAAAAACAATTTTGCATGTTTTTTCCCTTTCGTTCCTTTCCCTAAACAGCAGTTTGATGTTTATCCTCTCCGAGACTCTTCAGTAAGCAGGAGAGTCTAGTTTAATTTGCAAAAGATTTTTGATGAGAAATTCGTTATTTGTACTTTAAATCTCCAAACTTGATGTGCGATCTTCTGCGTTACAGAATCAGAAAATATTTTCAGCCTGTTTATTTCCATTGTCTTGGATCATTTATGTATGTTTATCTTTCATAAATCCCATAACTGATTGCCTACAATGAGTGAGAAACTCCCTCTACTCTGCAGGTCTGAAGTAGACATGTAAACAATGTTTACGAAAACAAATAAGTAACAACGATTTTTACAAGTTCTCATTATGCTAGGATAAGCAAAGAGAAATTATTAAGGTCACTATGAGGATTATTATGAATCCCGGACTTGGCACTGCAAATTGAGTGATATTTCCGTCTAACCTGAGGGAGCAGCAGCTGCGGAAAGAGCTGTAAAATTGGAACTATGTGATCTTGACGTATGGCTTTAAATATAAAAATACTACGAACCTTGTGTGCCAGCATCTGCTGCGCTGGTACCCGTAGCTCGCCCAGTGTTAGCACTGTTACCATTACTGCCACCAGTACCACTATTACTACGTGCAGCCCCACGAGTGTCTCCGTCGTCGCCATCATCATCATCATAGTTACCATTATTACCGTTATTATTATTATCATTATTATTGCCTCCTCCACCACCAGTATTACCGCCTCCACCACTAGTGCTGCCTCCATTAGAAGGGACGATTATGATTTGTGGACGTCCTGAGAAGACAGCAGTTAGGGCTACTACAGTGATGGAAAGGGATCATACTTACCCGCGTTGGGCGGACAGGCATCGCAAACAATAACGCACACTGCCAGAAATACAGCAAGTTTCGCCGAGAACATTGTTGACTAAGAGAGAAAGTGCATTGATGTGATCGATGTAAGAATGAGAAGAATTAAAGGGAAATATACCATACCAAAAAAGCGTAATTGGCGGCTGTGACAGCAAATAGCAGAAGCTTTTGTATGCTTCATTTATGACTGAGGAGCCTTTATAGCGTCATGCTTATCTAGATGTAGTATTGCTTTATTGCTTTGGGCGCGAGTTCCTTAACTGATGCAAATATCTTCCTCCGAATCAGATTGTAAAGTAGACAGTCTTCTAATTTATCCCCTTATTAGAGTGCTCATCCTGGCGTAGCATCTCGGATCTAGAAATCTTCGAAGATCAGGCTCAGGCTTATTAATCGTGGTCTTAAACGTCATCGTTTTGCATTGAGGTCACTTACACTGTATCAGTGGTTCAAAGCACCTCTGGGACAAAGAGATGCTTGATTGAAAGAAGATTCAAAAAAAGCTGCAGCAGTACTTGATTGATTGCTCGCGATGCAGAAATACTACCAGTATGGTTACAAGCTCTCCTTTTTTGAGTTCTACACATATGAGAATGTTGATGAAAAGAATTAAATCCATTTAACACGACAGCGTGAGTTTTAGTTGTCTCCCTCTTGGGACAATGCCTTCCACGGATTAGTCGAAAATTTTTTTAAGTTAAAATCATGCAGATTGCCAGTTACAGTATACCTACAGTAATTCTATGAAGCCGGCGAGAATCACAAGAGGAATTTCTAGGCTTAGTGCATAAGAGAACTTTTGAAACAATTGTATTCCAAAAAGCAATGTTTTCAACAAAATTTAAGCCATGACCCACCATGTGGGTCACGTTGTCGCCAATGTGTTAGAATACCTGCAAAAGTCTCTTTCTTACTCTATAAGCAAATTTAGATTATAACATGACATTGAACAACCGTAATGGAACTCCCTTCCAAAAAGGCGCAGAAACATCTGGGGGTGCTCAACAATTTGCATCGATTTTAACCTGGTAATTCCCTTATGTACTGCCGGTTTGCGAGATAGTATGATTGGCGAGGACACCAGGCGCTTGTGAAAGTGGTGAGAGTGTATTAGGATTGGGTAGAAGTGGATATTTTGAATCGAGACACATCACAGAAGAAACCAGGCTAAAACTTGAAAGTTCAAGTCAGACTGCTCTTCACTGGCCATCAACACTTTGAAAAAGTCAAGCGATACTTCAATGCACAAATTTGAATGCGCAGTTCTTATGTACACTGACTCGAACTTTTATTAAATTTGCAGCTTTAGTTAGAAACATTTGTAGGTGCACAAACTTGCTACTGAACCTGCAACATAGCTGAAAAAAATAATTCTTCCACGAACGGAAAATGTATGTCTGGTTGCAAAAAAAGCGAGAAGCTGAAAATCGGCTTTCAAAGCTGCTTGAAATAACCCTGCGGAAAGGAAACAAATTTATAATCCTAAATGCAGAACAATTGACATATTCGTACGTTACATCGTAAGTTTTCAAATTGTCGGGCGCGACAACTAAAGAAAAACAATTTTGGATGTTTTTTCCGTTTCGTCCCTTTCCTTGAACGGCTGATGTTTATCCTCTCCAAGACTCTTCAGTAAGGAGAAAAGTCTAGTTTGATTTGCAAAAGATTTTTAATGAGAAATTCGCTATTTGTAAAAAATCTCCAACTTTGATGTGCGATCTTCTGCGTTACAGAGTTAGAATAAATTTTCAGCTTGTTTATTTCCATTGTGTTGGCATTTATGCATGTTTATGTTTCATAAATCTCCATAACTGATTGCCTACAATGAGTGAGACTCCCTCTACTTTGCAGGTCTGAAGTATACATGTAAACAATGTTTACGAAAACAAATAAGTGACAACAATTTTTACAAGTTCTCATTATGCTAGGATAAGCAAAGAAAAATTATTAAGCTTACTATGAAGATCATTATGAATCCCGAACTTGGCACTGCAAATTGAGTGATATTTCCGTCTAGCCTGAGGGAGCAGCAGCTGCGGAAAGAGCTGTAAAATTGGAACTATGTGATCTTGACGTATGGCTTCAAATATAAATTGAGTAGGAACCTTATGTGGCAGCACCTGCTGCTCTAGTAGCCATATCTCCTCTGGCGTTACCACTATTACCATTACTGCCTCCAGCACCACCACTAGCGCCTCCAGCACCACGAGTAGTGTCGCCATCATCACCGTCATTACCATCATCATAATCCTCATATTCATCATCATTATTATCATTATTATTATTGTTATTGCCTCCTCCACCACCACTATTACCGCCTCCACCACTACTAGTGCTGCCTCCACCAGAAGGGACGACTACGATTTGCGGACGTCCTGAGAAGACAACGTCAACGGTTAGGACTACTACAGTGATGGGGATCATACTTACCCGCGTTGGGCGGACAAGCATCGCAAACAAAGACGCACACTGCCATAAATACAGCAAGTTTCGCCGAGAACATGGTTGACCTGAGAGAAAAACATTTATTGCTCGATATAAGCATGAAGAAAGGAGAAATATTCCATGCCGAGAAAGAGGAGTAATGGGCGGCTGTGGCGAAGTAATTGAAAAAAGCTCTCGTATGCTTTGTCTATGACCGAGAAGCTTTTATAGCGTTGACCAATTAGCTTATCTAGATATAGTACTGTTTCCGGGCGAGAGTTCCTTAGCTGATGCGAATATCTTTCGCCGGATCAGATTGTAAAGTAGACAGTCTCCCAATTTATTTCCAGATCCCTTGAAGTGCTCATCCAGGCGTACTCTGTAGCTTTTTCTTGGTGATACTTCTGCTTCTCGGATCTAAAATTTTCAAAGATCAAGCTTAGCTTAGATTAATCATGGTTTTAAACGTCATTGTTTTGCATTGAGGTCACTTGCACTGCACCGCTAGTTGAAAGCACCTCTGGGACAAAGAGATGCTTGATTGAAAGAAGATTCAAAAAAAGCCGAGCAGTACTTGACTAATTGCTCGCGATGCAGAAATACTACCAGTATGGTTACAAGCTCTCCTTTTTTGAGTTCTACACATATGAGAATGTTGATGAAAAGAATTAAATCCATTTAACACGGCAGCGTGAGTTTTAGTTGTCTCCCTCTTGGGACAATGCCTTCCACGGATTAGTCGAAAATTTTTTTAGCAAAATCATACAGGTCGTCAGTTACAGCATACCTACAGTAATTTTATGAAGCTGGCGAGAACCACGATAGGAATTTTTAGGCTTGGCGCATAAGATAATTTTGAAACGATTGTATTCCAAAAAGCAGTGTTTTCAACAAAGTTTAAGCCACAACTCACCATGTGGTCACGTTGTCCCAGGTGGCAGGCATTGCGTTTCCCACCATGGGGTCACGTTGTCGTCAATGTGTTAGAATTCCTGCAAATTCACTTACTCTATAAGCAAATTTAGATTATTACATGACACTTGAACAATCGTAATGGAACTCCTTTCCAAAGGTACAAAAACATCTGGGGGTGCTCAACGCGTCGATTTTAACTTGGTAAGCCTCCTTCATTTTCATTTTTCATTCCATTCATGCGCTCGAGGCGTTCCAAATCAAAACAATAAAGTGTTAGTCATACATGGAACTATACTTGGGTAATTCGAAAATTTTTCATTGAATGAATGAATATCGAATAAATTCGAAAAGGAAAAATTTCGAATAAACGAATATCGAATAAATTCGAGTTTCAAAATTTCTCGAATGAATGAATTCCAAATAAATTCGGAAAATCAAAAATGTCGAATGAATGAATATCGAATATATTCGAACACTGGAAGTTGAATTTCGAATAAAAAATCGAATGATTTATCGAATAACTGGAGCAACTATATCTCAAACTTGCCGACATATCTGGTTAAAGCTGATCCATTCATATTCAACACCCCCCGTATCCCCTATACCAACTCCTGGCTCAAAATTTTCCAAAAATCGATATGCACTTAAAATCAATATGTACTTAAAATCAATATGTACTTTCAATCTGTACTTGAATTCCACAAATGCTACGATACATTGCCTGTTCATCGGAGACTTTCGTCTTGTATGGTATAAGCTAGTCATGGACGAAGGCACGTGGTTTCTTACGCGAAGCGAGCACGAATGCCTCTATAGCCCCCAGGCATATTGCAGGCATTCCGTTGAGCGACGTGGTTTGGCAATAGTCAAATTGTCCAAAACTTATTTCAAAAGTAGAATGCAGGGCATTTATTTTTTTAGTAAGTTGTACACCCTAAACATTTGTGGTAAGCTGGCGTTACCTTTGAAGACATCTCGTAACTGGCAAATCGTGTACGGCGATCTAAACCGTCTAATCCTGCACTACAACTGCGATGTCCTTTAGTCAAAATACGCCAGTTCGCAAAAAATCTCTAAGGTAGCGAATAGAGGCAGTTGTGCAATATAACTCATGCGAGCAAGAGTGCTCACTAGTGTGGGCTTTGCGTACCGCAAGCATGAGCAATGCAAAGAAAGAAAAACAGGCATTTTAAAACACTTTCAATTGAACTCAGAACATGAGCTTGAATTTGATAGCTTCTTTGCTGATTTGGTTCCAATAGCAATGCGAACATCATTGATCGAAAAAGCATCAATTAAAATCCACATATGGTTCTTTTTACTGTCGCAAGTCGAGAGAATGCGACTCTCCAAACCGTTCAAAGGTATGACGGTTGCAAAAGATGCATTACCGAGTTTTGAGAAAAAAACGCGGACGAAGTGAGCTTGATACTCAGCAATTGGCTCTGCAACAAAGTCGAATAATCTGAATACGGAGTTTATTGGAATACGAATTCGAATAAAGATTCGAATAAAATTTTCGAATAGAATCTATTCGAATCCTCGTTTTTTGATTATTCGAGTTTTCGAATTTTATTCGAAACCCTGTTTTTTGATTATTCGAGTTTCGAATTTTATTCGAAACCACGTTTTCTCAATTTTTCGAGTTTCGAATATTATTCGAAAATGGAAGAACTCCGAATATCGAATTTCGAATACGAATATATTCGA